TCATCGTCGCAGCCCTGCATGGTCAGCACTGGATCCCAGGAGAAAACCTGGCAAGGGAACAAGGCAACCTTGCCCAAGCCCTTGTCTAGGCGGAAAGAGAAGACAGCCGGGAAGAGGACCCACAGAGGGCTCTGAACAAGAGCAGAGGGGACAAAGGGACAGCTCTGGGGACTGGAGCAGAGGGTGGAGGTGTCAGTGCCCTGAGTTATCTGCACTTTCTCCCAGGGCCTAGTAATTACTTACAACAGTGGAAACTATGGGTATCGTCTGCTAACCGCTCCTGGTGAGCCAGGCTCTGGGCCAAGCACTTACTTGACCGGCTCAGTCACTCACCCTGGAAAGCAGGTAATGGTATTAACCCATTTGATAGATGAGGAAAGGAAAGCTCAGAGAGATAAAGTAACCTGTCTGACTTGCCCAGCAGGAAAGGGGCAAAACTGGATCCCACCCAGGTCTTCCTGGAGCCTACCTACAGAGCTTTTGGAGGGGTCACAGTCCAGGTGGCAAGAGGATGTCTGTGGCTAGTGTCAAAGCTGAGACTATAGCTGGGGAGGCACCCTCAGCGTGGGGTCGACAGAGCAGAACCAGGCACCCAGGGAGGAGCAACCTACATGTGTATGCAGTCCTGTTGGAGGAGGAGGAGGAGAATGTCCAGGCTGACAAGGAGGGGGAGGGCATTCCCAACAGCTTGAGCAAACAAAAGGAAGCAGTTCTGGCCCAGCCGTTTCCAGCATGCACGTGGTCTGTCTGTGTCCCGAGGCTCTGGGTGTGAGGCCAGGGAACCAGGCAGGGGCCAGCAGGAGGGGAGGGTGCCATCGTATCAGCAGGGAGCCCCCTGGTAGCTATGTGGAGGTCTGATGAGTGCCGCTGGTCGCTCTTAATCAAGGAGATGGGGATCTAAACCATTACAGAAACTGGGGAGGGGAGGGAATAGAGAGGCTGGGGCAGAGGGGATGAAACCCTGAGATATCGAAATGCTAGAATCTGCTAGATGAGAAAGCTAATCAGATGTGGTGGACACCAGGCAGTGGTCGAGGATGACTCAGCCTCCGGCTTGGGTGTTAGGGAGTCTTACCATGAACTAAGATCTAGCCCCGAAGTTGAGGGAGGGGCTCGTGAGAGAAAGATAAGTTCTGTCTGGAGTGAATGAGGTTGAAGGACACTCAAGCCATGTATGTCAAGGTGAGCTCTGGGCTCAGGGTTAAAAGGAGTTAGGGGCTCAAAATATAATCAAAATCGGGCTGTACTCTGTAAGTGAAGAAAGCAGCCTGGGTTGACTCGAATTTGAGCTTAGTCTGCAGCCAAAAAGGGAAATACTCCAGCAGCAGAACACCCACTGGATTAAACTAAGGATCCTGTGTACTCAAACTTGAAAAAGGGTCCAAGGGTCTAAGCAGAACACAGGCTGAGTTCAGCAATGGTGCCCATGATGTTCAAAGTGTGTACTTCAGTGAGAGCATTAATAAGAGCTCCATTCAGGGCTTAAAAGGAACCTAAAAGATACAGGGGCAGACGTAGTCCACTGACAAAATGTCCTCAAGTCACTGAGATGTGGCCTCTTGTATGAAACCCTCCCGAACTCCCCTTTCGCTTCTGTACAGGACTCCACCCTTTTGTCTGGCCAGTGACCACTGCTACACCCTTTCACATGTATTATCTCATTGGTTTGTCAATGGTTTCCCCCGCTTGATAGGTGGGAGAACAGAAGCCCGGCGAGACTAGGGTATGCAGAGCTGAACCCAGCTTGCTGGGCTTGCTCAGCCCTAGAGGCTTGCTCCTCTGGGCCTCCCTGCCCCACCCCCTCCTCACTTGGAAGAGCATTTTACAGCGCTCCAGGATGCCCAGGTGGCGGCTGGCATTTGGGTGCAGAGACCACCCCAGCCCAGGTGTGCTGTCTGCTCTCAGGACCTGCTGCTCATCAGCCGCTGGGGAAATCGGACTGACCTCAATGGTGGGTTTTTTGTTTTGCTTTTTTTTTTCCTTCTAAGAACAATTCATTTTGGTCAGATAGCTAGAGTAAAAAAGTGACTGGTGTTGAGAAACCTCCCCCTTCCCCCACTCTCTGGCCCCAAAGAGGGACATTTGAGGAGTGACATTTGGGGCCACAGACGATGCTCTTTGGGCAGTTCAAGCAGCCGGCTTTTCCCCTTGCCCAGCCCCACCCACTTCCCCTCACTGCCTCCCTCAAATGCCAAGCTTGGGCAGCCTCCCATCCTGGACTGAAGTCCAGCGTCCGAGGGCCCCGCTGAGCCGCTCCCTGTGGCCTCTCACCCTCATCCCCTCTGCTGTCCATCTCAAATGGCGGCACGGGGACAGTGTGTGGAGAGGAACTGAATTCCTCCCTTCTCCACCATGTCTCTGTCACCGCTCTGCCGACCCCATAGCATCTTCCACCTGCCACTGCTCATTGAGAAGAGTGAGACTGGGGCAAAGGCAGGACTTGGGGGATGGCTGAGGGAGCCGCGAGCCAGGGCTGGGTGGCTGGACAGAGAGGTAGACAGAGGCCTGCAGGGCAGCGCAGTCTGAGCTTGGGGGAGCCTGGGAACCGACAGACCCATCCCAGAGACTTGGAGACAGCAGAGGTCTGGACGTGGGGGCTGCACCCCAAGGATACAGCTGCACCTACGTCTGAATAAGCAAAAAGGGGGTAAGTGTCAAGCAGGGTGGAAAAGGCTCTAAGGGCCCGACTCCAGACTCCACATTCTGGGACGTAAACTGAGGCCCCCAGACAGAGAAGCAGGAAACTAGACCAAGCACCTTGAGGCTAAAGGCCAAGTAACTAGGGGTCCTAATTTACCCGCCCTGGTAGCTTCTGGCAAGAGACCTCCACCACCTTCCTTTCCAGGATATGCCAGGCGGCAGGCAGCAGTGTCGAGAAGGTGAGGACGGAGGCGGTGGTGATGTCAACCAAGGAATTAAGTAAGCAAAGGAGCTGATAACATCGCCCAGCAGGGTTGGCTATGGGTGAGGTGACTCATCGAAGACGAGACCCACAGCACAGCACAGGGTGGTGGTGGTTGTGCCCAGCCTGTGGGATTGGGGCGGAGTGGGGGCTGGGACAGGTTCCTCTCGAGTCCTCCGTTCCATGGAGAGGTCTCAGAACACAGTGTCCCCCACCTTCAGAGCCCTCTGTGGCTCAGGAAACAGCCCTCCCTCCTCCCACTGTTGTGATGATCTTTGTCTACAGCGTTTGGTGTGTGTTTGTGGGGTGTGTCAGGTGATTTCCCCACCTGCGTCCCTCTGGGCGCTCTAGGCACTGGAGACTGCTAACACAGAACGGTCGCTGCCCCTGCTTGGAGGGCTGTCTGTGGGGACAAGGCACCGGATGGCGAACTGCTAACCGCGACCACGTGGTGTCCTCGTGCAGGGTACAGCCTGTTCCTCCTGCAGCAGGCGGGCAGCCGTAGAGCTGCCTCCGCTCCCTCGCTTCCTCGGTGGCCCTGCCGAGAGGGCCCACAACCACTGTGTTCATCCTCAGCCCTGGGGATGCTAGGGACTGTGGCCAAACTGCACAACCAGAGGGCACGCCATTCACTTTCAGTCTGTGTGTCAGAACACGTGGCGGTACTCTGGGCCCGCCCGGCCCTGTTCTGCAGCACTTCTCACTCCCTCCCCCACCGAAAATGATCGATTCAGCCTGCCCTTAATAAGGTTAACTTCACACCAAACTGCTCCTTGGAAGCATAAGTTTCTTCCTTTACCACCTGACTTCATTCATTCATTCATTCATTCATGCCACAATAAATTGTCAAGTTTGTGCCAGGGACCATTCTAGGTAAGGGAACAAGATAGACCCTCCCTGAGTTCATGGAGCTCACATTCTAGTTGGGGTTACATAATCTGATAGATAAAAGTGCAAGCGACAGTAAGTATCATGAAGGAAAGTAAAGCCAGGACAGGAGGTGAGGGGTCACAGGGTCCTATTTCAGCTAGGACTGGCCAGAAGGACCTGGAGGCAGGGAAGCAAGGAGCCTTCCCGGCAGAGCCCTTCCTGCCACAGCCCTTCCTGTCAAGCATCCAATGACAAAAGAAAGTTCTGAACTCCTGCCCGGTTCTGCCAGTAGCCTGTGGCATGGCCCGAGGCACTCGCTTCCCGGCTCTGGGTACCCGTTTCTTCCTTGACAAACAAGAAGTCTAGCTGCACTGGCTCCCCATAGGCATGAGGAACTTCTTCACGGGAGCCTGGGTGGGAAGGCCAGCTTGGCCACCTATAAGCTGTGTGACCTCAGGCAGGTTACTAAGCTTCTCTGAGCTGGTTTCCTTATCTGTGAAATGCCTATACCTCAGGGTATTGCGAAGGATTAAATGAGGTTGTAGACAAGAAACCACCAGATATACGGTAGGTGCTTCATAGATGTCTTCTAGGGCCACACCTGGGAGAGGCGAGGAAAGGGGTATGCGGTGGAGAGGGACTATTAAGTAGGCCTTTCCTCAAAAGAGCCTGGAGAGGGCATTGCTGACTGACAGACACAAAGCTCTGCCAGCTGCCCAGAAGTGCAGAGCAGATGGGGGCGGGGGGATCCCCCTGGCTGGGACCAGGCTCTGCACATCCAGGGCCTGGGAGAAGGGGAGGGGTTGTGCAAGGGTCATGCACCTTCCAGCTGACTGACGTCAGCAGGTGAGGGTGGGGTGGGGACTGCCCTGCAGGCCCTTGAACTGTCACTGCTGCGGCCCAGCTTTCAACTTCCTCTGGGCCCAGGGTGTGCTCAGCTCCTCCTCTCGGCTGTTTAGGGTGAGGACCATCTACCCTCAAGCTCCAGTCACTGTGTCCCCTGGTCAACTCAGAGCACAAGAGAGGCAGGCACAAAGCTCATTCCAGCCCACCCTGGTCAACAAGTCTTCCCCAAGGCCTGCTGTGGGTCTGGGTTTCTGGACCCTGCTGGGAGCCCCAGAACCCAGGGGTGTTGGGTGCCAGCAGGGCCTTCCAGGTGCAGGGTGCACACAGTAGCGAGAGCCAGCCTGGACTGGCAGCTGTGGCCACACACTCATGGATGCATTACCTCACTGGACATGAATCCATGATGTGGGAGTCTGAGCCCCTTTCATTCTTGAGGAAACTGAGGCTCCAAGAAGTAGGAGTGGTGGGAGCTCAGACAGCAGGGTTTCCAGACATTCTTCCTGCAGGCAATGACCTCGAAAGAGTCCTGTAAGACAGAGGGGACCTGGAGAGGTAGAAAGAAGAGGAGGGTGCAGGTGGGTAGACTAGACTGAGGCTGGGAGGGGGTACCTGGCTGCAGGTAGCTGCAGGCCAAGGTGTGAGCTCCCCCTCATGCAACCCACTTGCTGCCTTAGAATCCCCAGGGTGGCCTGGCTCTCTGAGACTCCAGCAGGCTCCCAGGTGGTCTGAGAGCACAGGCTCAGTCTGGGAGGCCAGAGCTGGCCTGTGAGCCCTGATGGAGACCATTTCTCAGGCCTCTCCTGGCTCTGACACAGGAAACAATAAGAGGGACATTTATTGAGTATTTTTATTATCGAAAATAGTTGTTTATTGACAACTTCCCTGCACAGGAGCGGCTGTGCTAAGCACTTTGCATATAGGCACCTATTTAGTCCCCACAAAACTGGGGCACGGAGAGGTTAAGTGACTTGGTTAAAGGTCATGCAGAGCAAACATTCAACCCAAGATGCCTGGTCCCAGAGGCCACACTCACTTCCCCCGCTAAAGTGGGGATTCCTGGTACAAGGAAGGTGCTGAGCCTGGGGTTTGGGCCAGACCTCTCAGGGGCAGAGGAGCTCCACCCTACTAAGGGCTGAATGCCAGACCTCTCCCTCCCATGGGGATGTGGTTTTGACAGGAGAAGGCAAAAGAGGGCATGCTTACCCCAAAGGAGGGAAACAAAGCTGTGTGGCCATGCTCTGGGGGTGAAGTAGTAAAGGTGTGAGCTCAGGTGCAGGGAAGGGAGCCTGCAGCCACTTCCTCAGCCCTTTCTCTCTGCCCGCAGCAGGGCCTGGTACCGGTGGGTGCGCACCTCTCATGTCTGAGGCCTCTGAGCAGACAGCCTGGGCCCACCCGTCTGTGTGCACGCGCACGCGCCCGCCTGCGCAGACAGAAGGTGAAGAGAAGGGACCTCTGCGTGTGCTTGTCTGCAGGGGGACTGTCCTCCGCCCACCCCTGCTGTAGCCGCAGAGAACAGGACGCCCAGGCTCTAATCTGCACCTTTGGGGCCTGGAAACCACAGCCACGTCAGCGGCGAGCACTCAAGGGTTGGGTGGGAGGTGGGGCCACGGAGGCAGGGTGTGCAGGTGTGCGCTGCTGTGTCTGTGCAGAGCCAGCAGGAGGGTGTGGCTCCCGCCCCAGCCACCCCCCAGGGAAAGAGGGAAGGTGGGGCAGAAGGGAGCTGGACTTCCCCCAGGGCAGCAGGGTGTACTCCAGACCCCAGTTCTTCTCCATTCCTGTGATGCTGGTTTCTCTGTATTCGGGGGGCACCGTTCTTGGTTGTTAGTGACAGGAAGCTCATGGGCTCCCCAGGCCGGCTGGAGAGCCAGGTTCAGGGATCAGAGTCCAGCCACTCCGACCTGGAGGTCATGCTGCCTCCAGGTCCTGCAACTGCCCCCCACCCCCACCCCTCAGAGAAGCAGCTGCTGTCCCCACTGGTTCTTTCTTTTCTCAACAACAATCCCAAAGACAACCAAAACAGACAACCAAAACAAATGCCTGAGGAGCATCTAGATGGCCCCACACAGTCCCAGGCACTTGCGAAACCTCCGTGAACAAAAATACCCCAGCCCTCAGGCCGCCAGCATTCCTAGGGGAGATGTAACAGACGGCATAAGACCATCTGCGGGGCGTAAGTAGGTGAGGGGTGCCACCGGAAGCCATCGCACACAGAGTGGGCCGGGTGGGAGAGTGCTAGGGGGGCAAGAGTTTGTGGGAGCTGACATTCTCGGAGACAGATGCCCTCTGAGCCTGCCAGACCACCACCAAAGGACGGGGGCAAGCCCAGAGTGTGGTCCTGACAGACTGGCCATGGATGGTGAGGGAAGAGAGGAGGGGGCCTTGACAGGGGCTTCTTGGAACGAGAGCAAATCTGAATGGGCTGCGAGAAGAGGCACTCCTCGGTTCACTCACATTTGCAGACTCACACTCTCATAGATGCGGTTGGTCCCTCTGGGCCTGGGGGGAGATAGAGCTGTGTCTGCAAAGCACTAGGCAGGGGTGTCCAACCTGCAGCCCGTAGGCCACACGTGGCCCAGGATGGCTGCAAATGCGGCCCAACCCAAAACTGTAAATTTCCTTAAAACATTATGAGGGTTTTTTTTGTGATTACATGTCATAGTGTATTTTATGTGTGGCTCAAGACAACTCTTCTTCCATTGTGGCGCAGAGATACCAAAAGGTTGGGCACCCCTGCCTAGAGGATGGGAGGTGGCGCTGGGGACAGAGGATTGTGGAGTGACAAAGAAGGAGACCCAGAGAAAGACCCATTACAGACAACAGACACTCAGTGCAGACCGCATACACGTCCCTTGCTTGTCAGTCTCAGCTAGACCGCTGGGCCACAGCCTTCCTTCCTGATGAGGGACAGCACTTAGCAATCATATGACCTTGTGGGGACACCACTTAGCAACCATATGATATCGTGCATGTCCCTCCACCTCTCCAAGGCTGGACTTTCTCTCTATAAAATGAGAATTTGATAACCCCCTCCTTTCATGCCAAGTTGATTCACTGTGAGTTGACAGACAAATCCTTTCTGCTCCACCTCCAAAAAACTGTTCAGAATCTGATCACTTCTCCCACCTCCGCCATGGCCAGGCTGGCCTCCCTGTCCCTCTCCTACTCCCCGCTGCAGTCTCTGGGCCACCCCGCAGCAGTGCCCCCTCCTCCAAACCTGCAGCAAAAGGCAAAGTCCTGACCGCAGCCCCTGGGACACTGGCCTCCCTAGCTCCCTCCGCCCTCTTCTCACCCTCAATCCCAGCTCCCTGGGCCCCTCGCTATTCTGCAAACACCCCAGATATGTCCTCTTAGAGCCTCTGCGCTGCCCTGGCTTTCCCTCTGCCTTCGCTATCCTGCTGGCTCTGCCCTCAGGAGCCACTCAGATGACATCCTCTGTGCCACCTTCTCGGCCACACTAGCTAACACTGCAGCCCTGACCTCTGCACTGTCCACCCCTCTCCCTTGCGCTTTTCTTCTTCCTGGCATCTTCCACCACCAACATGCTACATATGATCTTTTATTTACCTCTTTTTGTCTGTCTCTCTTACCAGCAGGTAAACGCCATGCACGTAGGCATGTTTGACTGTTTTATCCTCCGCCACAATCCTCAGCTCCTAGAGCAGTGCCTGGGTCATGGGACTCAATAAGTATTGAATGAATAAATGATTGGGGAAAAAGGAATGATATGAGATAGCAAATAGCAAAATGAAAGAAGGGGAGGAACCAACCCTGAGTGAGCCATTGCCTTGGTCCAGGAATCTACAATATTCTTATCCTCAAACAGCCTTGGGAAGTAAATAGAATTAGTCCCATTTTACAGATGAGAAGCCTAAGGTTCAAAAGGGTTATGACCTATGGTTGCTGTATTTTGTCCCCAAAGATAGCACTGACAATTCCTCCCATCTCTGTTCCGAACGCTGCTCCCCTTTAAGACTTGGAGTCCCTCTCCCTCCTCCCACCCCCTTGAGTCTGGACTGGTCTTGTGACTTGTTTTGACCAATAGAATGCGGTTCTGTGTCCATTTTGGACTCTGCCTTAAGAGACCTGGCCCCTGGACCAGCTGCATAATTTGCAGGGTCCAAAGACGTGAAAAGGGGGACTGGGGCAGGGGGGGACCTTGTTCAAAAAGCAAGAACAAAATATCTTTAGAGGTATTAACATACAAAACTCTCTTTTCTTCCATAGCCACTCTCACGTCATGGTGGTGTTTTTTTTTTTTCTTTGCTACCAACATTGTTCTAAGTAAAGAAAAAATTAAAAATTTTAAATAGGATGAATTTTACTGTTCGACTTTATATTATGCAATGCCAGTTTTAAATGCAAATATAAGAGCATTTAACTCATATATGGAATCACCAAAATTATACAATTCCTATTTTGGAGCTTATGTATGGATATGTATTTCATTCTTACCAGGACAGTTGAAACACTGCACAAAATACTGCACAAAACTAACTCATTTTTTATTTTTCCTGAGGTGTTTTTTTTTTCTGCTTTTATTTTTATTTGCATTTATTTTATGCTGAACTTATTCCTGGCTATAAGTTTTTGTTTCTTCTGGGATATCTTTTTCTTCTGTGAAAGCTCCTCTTCTGGCTTAGGAACAACCTGCTCTTTTCCAGAAAGGCCATCTCAGTGCAGCAGGGAGAGCTCGTTAGGGGGTAACCAGCCCACGAGCTCTCTGAGCTCTGCACGGCATCTCGGGAGCTTTGCTCACCTGGATGTGCTCGATGACCGGAGAATCTACATCAAACCCTTCAGGTCAGCATCACTCTCTTCACTTTATATTGTGTGGAGCAAACATTCATCGCTCTTTTTGGACCATGGACCATGTGTCCAGCCCCCTGCTTGGCCAGGGCTCACCCACCCAGCTCCGCCATTGTCACGACGGAATGGTGCGGTGCCTATCACTTCCGTAAAGTGACGTTCTTCAGATATTTGGTGGCTTCCAGACATGCATACCCTTGATAGCCTGAGCAATTTCACGGATGTTCTTAAAATGAACACGAAGATTTGGACCTCTTGATTTGCATGACTTTGTGGGGTTTTCTGGGTCTAGTGAATACTGAGCCATTTTCAAAAGTTATCTCAGGCCACTTGTGGGAAGAGCTTCTCTTGACACAGACACATTCTGCCAACACTCCCTACCTTTGGCTTGCTGGTGAGTAAGGGAGGTCTGAAGGGGAAAAGGACTAGCTCTTTAGGGACAGGAAGCCAGGAACAGGGCAGGCACACGCTGTGCACATCTCCTCTGCTTCTGCACACACCCCACAGTCCCAGCAACTTCACTCACGAGGCACAACACCGTGTACAGAACAAATGAGCCGACCCGCCAAGCCCTGCTCAAGCTTTAGAACCATCAGCAAATAAAGCGTCACTGTTGAGTCCCCAAGCAGTGTGGGGGCTTATTACACAGCGGTTGCTGACTGATACAATGGTGGAGATCACGAGGCTAGCATGAGACCAGGCTGTGGTTGAACCCACATTGGTCTGCTTCCCAAGTCC